CAGCCAATCTTTTTTTTCAGTGTATGACTATTTGAATTTTAAATCTTCTGTACCTATAATTACACGGTTAAATAAAAAATTATTCTTTTTTTCTCTTTGAAGTGTTATATTCAATCATACGCTACATTATTATTTGTAATAAATTAATATATACTTAGAATCAAAATTATAATATTAATATACTGAAAGACTTAATTCTTAACATAGACATTTACGGAGTGTGATTATTAAAAATAAAGATATGTATTCCCATCACAAAAAATAATCATTGATTGTTCACTGAATACTTCATTTTGGTCAGCTTATACGTTGACGAATTACAAGTAACAAGTTATTTTCTAATCCTGCTGTATAATTATATTTAAAGTTTAAAATTCAAACAACCATAACTTGATAAAAATAAATCATACAATCACATCTAAAACAATCATTTAAAAGTATTTGAATTGTACTTTTATATGCCGTAGACTTTATTATTAAAAACAAAATTTTGTTTTTGTCATTAAAAAATGTTAGAAACGACCAAATATATATAATAATTTTTTTACTCATTTCATCTTAATTTACTGAAAATCTATGTAAATTTTACCAATGGCAGTGTGGCATTGTGTTCAACGCGAGAAAATCTTTGGAACCTGTACTATGGCACTTTGGAGAGAAAAAAAGTAATTTTTTTGTTGAACAGAATAATTTATAATTATGTAATAATTTAGAAATTTAGATATATTTAATTTAACAGGCTCATATTTGTATATAAACATTATCGTATATCTAATAACTCATTTTTGATGGGTGGGAAAAAGGTTTTACACACAAAATAAAACACAAAGTCTATCTTTGTAGATTTTATTACACAAAAACTATGTATGTATGTTATAAATAAAGTATATACACTGTTTAATTAAAAAATATAAATCGCGATTAGTACATTTGTCGCATTTGTCAGTAATTTGTTATATATCCAATGCGTCCAGCTGTAAATTATAAATTCGCAGGATTCATATATTCGCGCGTAATCTCATTTTTCTCATTGCGTAAATTGGTAATATGTTTTGTCAGCAGATGTCACTATAGTATTCGATTTCTAAATGACAACAGTTGGAATGATAGATTTCCATTTGCTTTAAAAATTTAAATAAAATATTATTTATATATGTGTGTGTGTGTGTGTATAACAGTTAATAAATTCATTGTAATTAAAATAAAATTATTGGGGAAGTATAGACATAGGGATTTTTGTCATACAAAATAGAATGAGTTGAGAAAACGCATAATTAAATTTAAAATATATATATGTTATTATAATATAATAGTATTTTATAATTTTGTAACATAATCACATTGTATTTTAAATACGTCACTATAGTTTTTTATTATAAATTAATATACATTTTATTAGAATTATTTCTCATGCCATGAAAAATATCTATGATATTGATAATTGATTCTTACGTTTATATAGAAAGAATAGAAACGCTATTATATGTAGTACATATATGTAATAATCTTTATTAAAAGTGGTGTGTGTGTATTAGTTATAAGTGTAGTTCTCTTTATTAGTCGACTTAAGCAAAGACGGAAATTTCCTTCGAAGTTGAAATAGCTGCAATGTCAATACCATAGTACGTTGAAAAAGTTTTGAGGGATCAGCTTTTTTTTCAACAATTAGAATTACATACATATCTTTTACTATCAATTTCTACTACTAATTACCATAATATTAAATTATATTAAAATATGTGCGCTAAATTAATATTGACTATCGACTTTCCTCCGTTAAAATCGCGGAAAGAATCTGCGAAGTAATCAAGTTAATTTGCTTGCCACATCAACAGATATTTAGAAAGTTTTAATTCTTTTAAATTTCGCCAAATGAATACACATTTTCGTCGCAATAGTCTAATTTATTGCACTCGCGCGCGCCGTTGATTCCAGATTTCCTTTTTTCTACCAGAGTTGAAACTGTGTCTTCTAGCATATTCATACTTTGTCTATAAAAGATTACATAAGATAGTAATTGTATGTGTACATATAAAAAAGTTTTCTTTTTAATATTACCTTTTGTGCCATAACAGTTCGAGAGCAAATATAATTACGCTAAATAGCGCTCCGTAGCCCATTGTGATTATCGCAAAATAGCATTCCGTAAAACCGATGGTGATGAAGCCAGTCTGACTCGAGCAAGTCGGTTTTTTTATGTATATGCGATACTCGTCGCGATACATGAGCCCATATTCTCGCAATTTCAAAGCTCTGAAAATACTTTTCTCGAGTACTATAATACTAATGCAATTTATTTGACATTTTATACAAACGCAACACAATCTTCTTTAAGCTTATTTTTTTACACAAAATTACTCTTGAAGACGATTGAAAAATTAACATTTAAAAAATGATAAATATCATATATAAAACAATTTTTTGGACTTTGATAATTAATTCTATATTAATTATATAAATTTTGACAATAGTACAAATTTTGTTAAAAATGTATTATGTAATGCAAATGGAATGATATTTTGTGTGTCATCCTGTATTTCACAAACTGTATATGCCTTCATCTTCGACCAATTCCGACTCGTGGTACTACTTATGATTAGCAGAATTTTATCGAAATACAGAATTTGCTCATACAGTTAAAAAAGCTACATATATTCCACGAGTATAATTTTAATGAGATAACTAAATAGTATGACATTTTTTTTCGTGCGCTATGTTATACATATATTAATTCTTAATATGCATTATAGTAGAGACTACTGTATAAACTTGAAGCAAAGCACGCGTTTTTTGACAAAAATTCTTATGTTAAACTTTAATTTGTTCGAATTAATAAAATTTTGTATCCGAAAGTGCTACATGTATATGAAAAATCAACGTCAACTTACCCATTTTTTATTATCTCCAAATAAGGCGATTTTTTCGCAATTGCAATAACCGGATATATCTCATTCAAATAATCGATCTCAGTTAGGCCACATTTCTCTTCTTCCTGGTATGTGTGCTGTATAATTGTATACATCGGACTTCGTATACCATGAAATGCAAAAGGTTCATTTCTTATGCGGCGTACTCCTTCTTCGAGACTCATCCAGTTCGATTTGCGCCCTTTCGGTTCAACCTTCTGCTGCACAATCGCTTTTCTGACGGGGTCTTGTAAAGCCTATATTCCAATAAAAAGAAAATAATTTTTGTCAATATAATCATTTGTTGTATAATTTTTGTTTTAAAACAATTACCTTGAAATAAAGTCGATTAAATACTATATCTTGTACTCCTAAATTTAACGGACTATGCAAGAGATCGGAAAGGGTTTTGATTGAGTCCGTGGTAGATTGCAAGAGAGCCACTATATTCGCCGTGTAAGCTGCATAAAGGCTCAGCGAGGTTAGTAATAACATAAGAGTGATGATTCGAGATGGGATTCTGTATGGCTCATATGAATATCCTACAAATATACGAAAGCAATAAAATTTCTCTATTTTTAGCTTTCATAAATACTTTGAATACATTATTATTTTTTAAAGCAGTATTACGTAACTTTTCTTAAAAAAAGGGCTATTTTCAGATATACACAGATATATATATATATATATATACTTATTTAATTTTAAATTTTATCTCATCAGTAAAGAAATAAAAAATCAAGATTATTTATAAAAAATCAATACTTTACAAATATATCATACATTTATGTAATATAAATTACATTTTTAAATATTAAATTCTTAAAGATATTTTAAAATGCATTTTAAATTTGCATACATAATTTTATATTTTTAGCTGTGAGCCAACGGATTGCAGGTTGCGTATCATTTAAAATAACTCTTTCGATGTAAATTTGAATCCTTATATTCCTCTTGTCTAGATTTTTAATTGCATAATCACGTGATCATCAATAAAAAGAAGAGTGAAAAATTAAAGAAAATATTAAAGATTTCATTTCGCTCATCAAAATGAGAGTGGAAATTGAGGAGAGATTCCAGAATATGTACATATAAATTCTAATAATTCTAAAATAAAAAGCTTCTACTGTATTTTACAAGTTTATTTTTTGATTTTAATTGTGTTTACATATTCGAGCAAGAAAATTATATTACATTGAATATTTTTATTTACAAGTTAAGATTTATAAAAGCTTTTACATTAGATTATACCTTGTTGTGCAAATGCACCTAAAAGGAAGAGAAGATTATCAGTAATTGTTGATTCGCTAATATTTAATCGAGTCCAGTAAGCTGCCGATTTTTTCGAAGTACCTCGATAGTGTTCCCATTTCATAGACATGTATAACAAGCAAAAGACGAGAACAAGGTATATGGCGATTGCTATCCAGACATTTTTTTGAAAGGGTAAGGTGAAGATGTTTTTTATGGTCGACAATAACGGTCGTCGGAACACGAAACTCAAACTGCACAAAATTTATGTGTTACGTCAATTAGTATTAGACATGTATGTTATATGTATTAGATTTTGACATATAATAATACTAAGAAATAATAATAAAGATATGATAGGAAACATAAAAAAACATTAAAAAAAATAGAAATGCGATAGAAAAAATATTAAGTTATAATGCTAATAATATTATTAATAAATTACATATTAATTTTGATATAAAATCTGAATTTATATAGATCCATTTAATTCAGATGATTTGCTAATTAAATAGATATAAATATGAAAAATTTTTCGTTGTAATTGAAGCTTAAGATATGTAGATAATCTATTGCAATAAATATACATAGCTACACTGAAAAAAATATATAAAATTTTAATAAATATTTGTTTGAATAATCAGGTAACATAATATAGCAATCAAAGTTTTGACTAATTAAATTATAAATGCTATTTTACCCAGTACGTGTGTATAATTGAATGTATTCTAATACATGAATGCGATTCGCTAGCATATACACAGAAGTGCCGCCAATGTCGATTTCATGTCGCTGCAGCATCCCGACCATCCCGTCCCAGGATCCATTATTACTGCGTCCCCAGTTGTTGGAAATGTTGAAACTTATTCTATAAAATGGAAGAACATAAAATTGCGATGTATCAGTTTTCTAGATTTATGTCTCATTGTTTTACACAAAGAATTATTCGATTCTCATGGTCACAAATTATTTCATATATCCTTTAAAAAGTGTAGAAACGTTTTTAAAGAAGACAAGTTAAACAATTGTAACGAGATATTTTCTCGTGTTCGAAGTTCGATAATGTTAGATCCTACATTTTATTTTTGCTGATAAAGCGCATGACTTATATAATTAAACGACTTCATTCGTGCGCTAATTATAATCTGAACGAAAACGATTTTGTCATATATTGTATAATTGTCTGATCGCTCTAAGTTAATTGATTAATAATCAATAATAATGTTTTTATAATAGTTTTATTATCATTTTAAGGTTTGCATCTAGAATAGTTAGATTTGTAAAGTAATTGACAAACCGGTTTTTTATTCTTCTAAAATTTTCTTCATAAGCATTTTAACGATACCAGTATATTTTACCGCTAAAGGTAAAACTTACGTTGCGTTCATCCGGTTTACTAAATGAAGTACCCAGATATAATTAACCTTTGTCATAGGATCTATTGCACTATATTTAAAATCAGTCAAATGATTGATCGTGTCAGGATCTGTCATCTGAAAAGATGAAAAATGTATTTCTACACTGAAAAAAAAGATTGACTGCTGCAGCAAATTAGATGGTAAAATATGGCATAGCATTTTTAATTGGTTGCAGCAGTCAATTTTTGGTTGTGTTAGTCTATCGAAATCCTATACTGACATTGCAGATAGGCTAAAGCAACCAAAAATTGGCTGCTGTCAGCCAATTAAAAATACTATGCCATATTTTACCATCTAATTTGCTGCAGCAGCCAATCTTTTTTTCAGTGTATATGCAAAGAGTTTTAAATATCTAAAACTAAATACCTAAGTTAAATTGTGGCGTTATTTTTTTTATTTTGTGATAAAATAATAGTAGGGAACACTATTATTAAATGTTTATATTATAAATGAAGTATATTTGATCATATATCGTTGATATGATAAGTACGTTTCATTGCATAGTAAGTGAATACGTGTTCAAAGTACCACGAGACAGGACTTAAGATGTGACTGCTGAAGATTCCTTCTCCTTGCCGAAGCCACGTCGAAAGTACTCATTTGTAAACCGTTGTTGATCGTCCAGTTTCCGCGATTTTCCCATATTACTGCTCGTTGTGAACTCGGTCGGTATATAGATGTCAGTTGAAGAAAATCACCATCGAATCTTCGAGCGAGTACCACGTCACTGTCAGGATAGACAGCTAAATCTTCAAAGACCTCTAAGTTATCATATGTGGAAGTTATATTGGCGTTATCGATCATCGTTCTTCGATCCTGAAGGAGCAGCCACTTCATCGGGGCGATAAACATTCCCTTCGAATGCGCCTATCGCGTAATTCAGATGAATAATTAATTGATTTAAACCGATGATGAAAGAATTCCCTATAATTAACTCATATATCAGTCCATGAACATTAATGACTTCTTTTTTACTGACAATGGATCGTAATGTTGGATTGTGCAATCATGATTAAACGTTGCAGTTTTTAAAGGGGCCAGAATTATTGATATAAATTATTACGAGTACGTAGAAATATTGGTAAAACTTTTGTTGTTTTTTAAACGAGGTGCTGGGGTTTTCACAGAAATTGTGTATTATATTTGTGCTCGCATCTTACTTGCAACAGATGTTTGATACCTACCTGTCGTAAAATTTTTATAGCGTAATCACAGTTCAGATCCAGCATATACAGATTCCGATGTTCCAAATTGTTATAAATTCTTTCTTCAAGATCATCGACAAAATTATGAATGTCATGTGTCAAATGATGATTCGACATTTTCCTTGATAATTTAATTGTATCATCTGAGAAAAAGGAAAGAGTATAGAGTCAATTAAAATTCTTTAGACATTTTTGTACGTCCGGAAAAAAATGTTATATATTTATATAGACGTATTTTATATATAATTATATAATTATATATAAAATATGTTAATTTTTTATATAATTATATATAATTTTATATAATTATTATATGTGAAACATTTTTTCCCGGGCGCCTTCTTATATAAAATAAAATCGTCATAATTTAGAGCGATGTAATGATATATTCTATACCAAAATTAACAAAGTTCATAGTAATATGATAGTTTATATCACGTTATAAAATCAAATTAAAAAATCTCTCTCTTTCTCCATATTTACTTCAAAATTTATGATTAGTTTTATTCATTTATTCATTTAATCGTCATATTTTCAACAGTCTTGAAACGTAAGTTATAAATTCGAAAATCTTGCCATAGCTGATGCACGTATGTAGAGATATCCTCGACGGCGAAAATAAAATGGGCGTCGCATCGATGATAAATTGTAGAATCACGTCGTCGATCCGACGAGAGGATGTAGTGTCGAGCGACACTGCAAGGATGCATAGAACGGTGAAAAACATTCCAATCGCTTTTGTATTCGCTAAGCGATTGCAAATAGATCCCTTCAGAATTGTCGACAGTATCGATTATATATTCGTGCACCGTAATCTTTTTGCGTATATAGCCGGGTTGGGATATTCCCATGCATAAGAAAATCGCTTATGAATCCAAAAAAATAAAAACGTAATAAAGGGAAATAGGTACAATAAGTCGATTATTGTCGCACATAAAATATTTAACGTTCGTGACGGACGCTACATTGATGTGGTATGTAGCTCGCAAAAAAAGGATGCAATGAAGAGGCAATCGGTGTAATGAGTGGAATATTACAGTACGTGAAATATTTAGCATTCGTGACGGACGCTACGTTGATACAATGTATAGCTCGCGGATGATTTCCTCTAATGTAGCTTCGAAACATGTGGTTTTAGGATTCATCAGCTTTCATCGTTCTCACGATTCGACAGTGTAATTATTGAAAGCACAATTTGAGTAATGACAGTGCAAGAAATCCCGATGCAAGAAACTCAGAGTCTCTGCATTATATTTTGTGTGTGAAAAACCGCAGCTGAGATTTCACGTACTCTACTATCACACAATATAATTTTTATGACATTCTTCTTACATTTCTGCGTATTCTACCGATGAAATTTTTCTTGCCTACCACGACATAAACAATTTTTATTATTAATATTGTTATACAAGCAATTTTAGTATAATAAAAGTGGAAATAGTGTTTAATTTTAAATATTGACACATCGAATCTGTTTATGACACGTGTAATTTTATTTTAGAAACAGCAAGATTTGCATTAGTATATTTTCTTTATTATATCTTTATATATATATCTACACTGAAAAAAAAGATTGGCTGCTGCAGCAAATTAGATGGTAAAATATGGCATAGCATT